TGAATTAAAATATTAAAGAGACTAAATGTTTGTTTTCATTGACACATTCGAATTTACCTATTAGCATAAATTTTGTGATACTATTTGTTTGAGAGAACTTATGGAAACAACTTATGACATTGTTCATAACGTTTTTTCAACTTATTTTCATAAGTTCTTCAAGATAACTAAGCTTTATTTCTGTATTTAAATTCAAAGTACACAAATTTATAATAATAATAATAATAATAATAATAATAATAATAATAATAATAATAATAATAATAATAATAATAATAATAATAATAATAATAATAATAATAATAATAATAATAATAAAGTTATTCATTTTTTTTATTTTAATAGGCCGACCTGGTAGATTTAAGGACTTTTCTATGGCCCGTGGCCTAATCGTTTTAACTAAATAAGCTTATCAAAGAGACTAGTCCTTTTCTATTTAAATAAGTATGTCCTAACATGGGTCTATGTAGGCTAGGCCATAGAACCCTGTTAGTTGGTCTGACATATTCTCACCCATAATCCCCAGATGAAGATTAAAGTTATACACACTAATTTGCGTCAGCAACTAGAGAACAATAAGCAGTGGTCTATGCACTAGGTTAAATTTTCTATTATTTCATGTGTAAACTGCAAAAATATTGCTATAATGTAATGATATTTATTCAAGTAAGAATAAATATGTTTTCACTGAAACTTTTATTTTTCCTTGTGGTCAATAAGGATAGTAAAGTCTTCGAGGTAAACAATCAAAGCAATTAAAACCCCACGAAAAACATATGACAAAAGAAATCAAAACCTCATAGTGCAAGTGCACAATTAAAGACAAAGACCACAAAGTGGAAATAAGGGGCTCAGCCCTGGTAGCTAGCACTCCAAAGGCTGAGGTGATTTCTTACCACGTCAACCTTGAACCAGGTTTTCACCTGGGGGTAGGGAAGAGGTATCGATCCTTGGCCGGGTACAACCTCAGAGACGTCCAATAAAACTTCGAGTACAATCTCGAAAAGCAAGCTATCTCTTAGAGAAACAAACTCAGGACTTAAAGAAATGATGTATAAGAAAGTAACGATAATGATAAGTAACCAAAATTGGAATACCCATTGAAAAACACGAATAATAAACCTTATTCATTCATTGAAGATACTAACAGATCAAGTACAAGTATATCGGGATAAAAACAAAACAAAAACTCATCAAACTAATCCCCCAAAGACCAGGTTTCTATTCTTTATCATTTGGTCAGGATAAACTAGTTCTCATGAAATATGCATCGGGGGATAAAAGTGTTCCACATGCTGTAAAGCATTGTCAAAAGAATCGCGTGTATTAGAGTAACTATCATCCATGATTCTGTGTACTCCTTGTTCAATGCAAGATTCTCGAGATGCATCTTACACTGGTTGCCCTCAACCTTCTTCAGACCTTCTTGGGATTCCTTTAACAATGCTTCAAGCTCTTATACCTTTTTGAGGAAAAGGTCTAGTTCCTAATCCACTTCAGCAAGAGCATCCTCTTTTGTAGATAGTGATGCTTGGGTATAAGCTAAATCTTGGTTTTTCTTTTTCATTTCCTACACTAGGAACACTAGGAACTTCACATTCTCAGCTAGTGAGTCATGGTTCCCCAAGACTTTGGAAAAAACTTATATCTCCAAAAACAAGGTAGATGCCCCTCAAAGATCCTCAAAGTACTGGTTTCCCTTGATAATAATGGCATCAATGTGCTCTTTAAACATATTTTCCACCTAAATACAATCAAGCAAGAAGTATTCTCACTGTCTAACAACACCAAAGGCAGGGATGTCGATGCCTAACAAGTATAATAAACCAAGTATGATAACTCCTCTTGAAAAAAATCTTTAGATTTTTATAAGAAATAGGAGTAATCTTCTTTGGAGATAGAATATTCGAACTCCCTAGCCGTCTGTAGATTAGGGTGGGCCAACAACTTAGGAGGAAACTTGGTCATAATCGATACAAAATCCCTCGTAGAACTAAGCCTCCTTAAATTACGAACTAGAAGTCAGAAACGCTTAACAAACAACCCATCCCCTTTAGGCTCTTCAAGTTTAGCACTAAGGTTCTGCATTTCACCTACCATTTTAACCTATTTTGGAGATGACGTGTCACGGGTAACCAAAATAGTAGGAATCCAAGTTACCGAAACCCTTCAAGTGGCTGGAATATTGGTACCATCAGTCAAGAGATGGATAACCTAGGGATTCCTCCTTATTTTCTACATTGTTTTGTCACACAATATCTTACTTACATAATAAGAACACACATGTTATTGAAGGAAATTCCAAAGAATAAATTAAAAAGAGAAGACTACCTGAAGTTTGACAAGAAGTGAATTTGGTGCCAAAGCTTAGAAATCATGCCCGAGCATTGATAAGGAATCCCATGGTCTACTAAGCATATTTTAGCATGAGATTTTTTGTTGAGGGGAGTGACTAGGAAAAATCAATCCATGAAGTGCTTCACATTATTCAAATAAACATCAAATATCCTTATGCAATATTTAAGAGATATCAAACCATGACCCTTTGCTAAAGCAACTGAGCTATGTTGATATTTGAAAAGATGGAAGAAGAGCATCAAAGTTGACACAATCTTCTTATATTTTCACCAGTATTGGAAGAATTTAACACAAACTTAAATCACCGGGTGTAATTGGGAATGAGAAGTTAACAAGTGGTTAAGAACGTAAACCTTAAAAGTATTAGAAAGGAGATGGAAACCTATCAAAGAAAAGAGACACGCGTGAAGAGGAATGACACACCAATAATACTTTCGGCATACCCTCTTATCTTCATCAGGAAAAAGCATACCTCAATCAGAAGAAGGTCCCACCTTGATGAAAGCGCAATCTAAGACTCCCCCATAGACAAAAGTAGAGGTGGTGTCCAATGACTCTTGATCCACCCACACTGAGGATTTGCCTTATTTTTCCTTACAAAACATAGTAGTTTGAATCTCCATACTAAAAAATACAGTAAATACAGAAAAAGAAAGTATAAAGAAATGGCGCAATACATAAAAAGGGTAAAGATTTAGCACTTCATTAAAAGATGTCAATAACAAAAGTTCAAACATCAAAGACCCCATAAACCAACTTTAGAAACCTTAAAATAAATTATTTGATCACCTATGTGTCACATACCACCAAACAAGATGTCGCAGATTAACCTAATAAAAAATTGATGGCGAAAAGCTAGAAAGAAAAAGGGAAGTTTATGATACAAAAGAGAAGAGTTATTACATTAAACAAATGGGAAAAGGGGGGAAACAAGACTTTAGGTACTCTTTATATGTGCCTCAGTCATAGGGGATTGTATGCTCCGTCGTATTGGGAAGCTAAAACCACACCATCAACAATCCAGATATCCTCGCAAGTTATTCAAGGCACTAGAGTATCCTAAAGTTAAAGAGATATCATTATTGACTATGGTAGTGAGACACAAAAATTCTCTAAAAAAGGATACCCATTACAAGAAAAATACTTAATACTCCTATACTTAATGAAAGTGACTTCCCACAAAGGCTCTTCGTTTGTTCTTGTCAAGCTGAAGATTTAAGGCGTATGCGGAAAACCCCCATGTCATACCTCAATTGTGTCCTACCTTCTATTTACTTTTAACATATTTTGCATATTGCATCTTTAGGTCTAAATCTAGTTAAATATATTATCAATTAGGCATCATTCATTTGTATCCATAATAATCCATTTGGCATATGTCCATAGGGTTTCATGTGTAGGCCTTATCTACGACCTTGTTTTTAGGTCATCATTTCATATTAAGTCATTTGCATTCTTCTTGCATATGATCATGGTTTGAGTGTTTGGTTTAGGGCTCTATTAGAATCATTGTGTCATTCATGCATATTTTACATATTTTTAAGATATTGTGCTTATTATGTCAATTGTGTATTCCCTATGTATGTTTGGGTATACATCATCGATTGAGAATAAAAGAGTCTTGTTCTATTTGTTCCATGTGTTTTTATAATATTTAAACTTTAAACTTAAAAGGGAAAATTTTGGGCAAAGTAAGTGCATTATGTATGCATTATACATTGCATTAGTTAAAAAAAAAAATAGAATACCAATAAAGGTAATCCTTATTAGTTTATACATTACATCATGTTTTAGTACAAGTAAAAAGAAAATTTTAAAAAAGATACAAAAAGAGAGTATAAAAATGAAAAATAAAAAGGCTAAGTTTTGAAGCCTTGAGGCCGTACACATCCCTTGCTACTCCATCATTATGTCATCATCTTCATCACTTGCCTTCCTCATGCCATCCATCATCTTGCAAAGCATTAACAATACACCCTGCATTACACCAACCAAATTAAAAACGAACATAAAAATGATGAATTGAAAAGCACCCATGAATTTCATGACACTCACCATCTTCAAACAAGAACACCATATCATTCACCACCCATAAGACATTACCATACACCAATTCAAATACATCCATAATTTGATTTGCAATGAACTAAATTGATCAAAAAATAGAATAATTCAAAACAACAATGTCAAATGTGTGATTCATCCCTCATCTCACCATCCAAACATTCATCATATCATAACACATACACACACATATCAGCATACAAACACATAACATAATACATATTTGGCACCTGATTTTGAGGTTAAGGATGACTTGCTTAGAATCCTTCCTTTATGGGTGACCTCAAGCAATGTACTGATAAGGTGTGGAAACCGGTGAATCACCCTGCAGTAGAAGAAACCAAAGTTGATACAAGCACTAAAACAAAGGACAAAACAACTGAAACCAAAGTTGATACAGAATTTATGATTGGTGGCACACATAAAGAGCAGTGGATAGTAATTACTTCAAGCAAATGTGATCGAGGTAAACATCATGGTCAGAGTACTCTGAAAAATTCCAAAAGTAAGAGATATCAAAACAGATTCATACCTCATAGGATTGGGGACTGTCCTAAGGAGGAGAAACCTAAAGTCCCATGATAGTCACTTGGAATGTAAGGGGCATAAACAAGGAAGCACGACATCGAGAAATTGGCTCTTGTCTCTCTAAATTTAACGTGCCAGTCGTCGCTTTGTTTGAAAGAAGGGTAAAAAATAAAAATGCTGATAACATTAGGAAGAAATTCGGCTCTGGTTGGAATTTTGCAGATAATTACATGCATCACGACAATGGAAGGATGTGGATTTTGTGGAAGTATGATACTGTGCATATTAAAATGCTAGAAAATGATGAACAATACATTCACACAGAGGTATGTGAGTTAGACCAGTCTACTCAGTATGCCGCTACAATCCTACATGCGTTTAATCAACTTGAGAAAAGGAAACTGCTATGGAAGAAGATTCAGTCTTAGAGCAGTAATGTGAATTGTCCCTGGATAGTCATGGGAGATATCAACAACGTTCTTACCAGTAGGGATACAATTAGTGGTAAGGATGTCACAGAAGCAGAATATAAAGATCTTTCTAACATGATGTAAAACACTGGCTTGTTCGAGGCAAGCACTAAAGGCTCTCATTTTACATGGTCGAACAAACACACGATAGGTGCAATTTATTATAGTATAGACAGCCTGATTAGAAATGTGCATTGGTTTCAAAAGTACCACGATGTTACAGTGGAAGTTTTATTGCCTAACATCTCTGACCATGGAAGTTTTATTGCCTAACATCTCTGACCATGCTCCGTTGAAAGTTAATTCGAATTAACATTGTGTTGAGAGGAAAAATATGTTTAAGTTTATTAACTGTACAACTCAAGATGAGTCTTTTATACAGTTGATTACTAGCAGTTGGTTGGCAGTAAAGGGTGGAGGGCATGACAATGTACAAGCTTTGGGCAAAACTTAAAAGGTTGCAACCTATTTTGAAAAAGTTGGACAAGAAATACACTAATATTCAACTAAAATACAGCAAGCTAGGAGTAATCTAGAATAGGCACAATATAATTTCAATTCCAACTTACTTGATGTGCAAGCCATTAACCACGTAAACCAGTGCACTTAACAAGTTACGCATCTTATTCAGCTTGAGGAAACTATGCTTATGCAAACATCTAAGATAACTTGGCTTAAATTAGGTGACGAAAATAACTCGTATTTCCATGCATCGGTGAAGAATAGAAATATGCACAAGGGCACCCACATATTAACTTCGGTAGGAGGGAGCTGTTGTGTACTTAAGAAGATATTGTAATCAAGGTTGTCAAGATCGAGATCTTGCGTAAGATCGCTAGGGGACGATAAAATCGTAAATCATAAAATCATAACTAAGATCGGAAGATCCTATCCAATTATTTTTGTAAGATCGATCGGGGGTAACAAGGTCGTAAAACATAAAATTGTAACAAAAGTCGTAAGATATTACTAAAACGAAAAATTATACTATATATTTGAAGTTTTTTACATGATATTTTGGTAGGCAAGTTTATTCGTGGGAATATGACCTCCACCGAACCGTAATTGTTGCGCTTCGCCATCATGTCAACCTTCTCGGCTTATAATGGAGGTGGCCGAAAAACAGCTGATCATGGCCGGAACTGGCCAAGATCACACAAAATCAATGGTTTTACAATTCTTTTCACAATTTGGCTACAACACGCGATTCTACTTAAGATCGAGATCGTTGGGTGTGAGTGAGATCACAAAATCGTAAGATTTTAAGATCTAGATCGAGATCTTGACAACCATGATTGTAATGGAAATCATGGAGTTTTATACATCATTAGTGGGCACAAAAGCTACTGAGTTACATAGCATCGATCTACCAGTTATTTGCAACAGTAATATATTATCTGCCATCTCAGTGCAGTGTATCATTCTACCAATTGAGAACATGAAAATATGGATAGCTTTAAGTAGTATATGCGATAACAAGGCTCCCAGAATGGATGGATTTAACGCCTTCTTCTTCAAAGCTTCTTGGCATTTTGTTAAGAAGGATGTCAAGGAAGCAATCTTAGAATTCTTTGGTACTTGTGAGATGCATTTGGCGGTGAATTGCTCTTTTATTACTTTGATCCCAAAATCTCCAGATGCTTGTATTTTTAAGAACATGCATCCTATAGCACGTTGTACTACGGTGTATAAAATTATTTCTAAAATACTCAATGCTAGATTGGGTGAAGTGATTAATTATGTGGTCCATGAAAATCAACCAGCCTTTATTCCTGGTAGAATTATACATGATAACATCATGATGGCACAGGAGCTAATCAAGGGTTATAATAGAAAGCATATCTATCCTCGGTATATGGTTCAAGTGGATATCAAAAAGCGTATGAGACAATGGAATGGTAATCCCTCCACCATATTATGATAGAGCTTAGTTTCCTGCAGATTTTTATTATTTGGATTATGGTATGTGTAACAACAGTTTCTTATATATTCTCTATTAATGGTGTTCCCTCTAAGAATCTATGTTTTGCTGATGATATTTTATTGTTTGTGATGAGGGACCTTGATTCTATAAAGTTGATCATAGATAAAGTTAGAGGCTTTTCATCATCTACGGACTTAAAGATTAGCATCCCAAAAAGTAAAATTTACTTTGGAGGTGTGGACGGTGTTACTACCAACCTCATTCAGCAAGAAATTGGTTTTGCTATTGGGTCAATGCTTTTCAAGTACCATGGAGTTCCTCTGGCTAGTAGAAAATTGATTGTCTCTAAATGTCAATTGTTAATTGAGAAAATGCTTGCACGGTCAAAATATTCGAGCACTAGACTTCTCTCTTATGTGGGCAGATTCTAACTTCTGAAAAGTGTTATCTTTTCTATTGCTAATTACTGGATGTAAATTTTCCCTCTGCATAAAAGGTTATCTCTTACATTAATAGTGTGTGTAGGAGTTTTGTGTGGACTAGCAAAGAAAACATAATCAGAAAAGCTCTAATAGCATGAGATCATATTAGTGACCCTTTCTATGCATGTTATTTGAACTTGATTTCTCTCATTGAATGGAATAAAGCAACAATTGGTAAAATCCTTTGAAATATATGTGAAAAGAAAGATAAAATATGGATTAGCTAGATACACTTATACTACTTAAAAAGCATGGATCCTACGACCTTTTGTCCAAGTATTCTTTGCTCTTGGATTCTCAAAGGAATGCTCAAACATCATGACATCCTTGCGCAATTCGATGTATGGAAGGAGTTCTAAAGTACAGGAAAGTATGTTACTATCACACCCTCATTTTCACCATAGCCTTTCATATCATACGTTCGTTGTAACGCCCCGATTCTGAATTTTCCATTTTTGTTGAGTCTTTTTATTTATTTTGATTGATTATTCTTTTAATTGTGGAATTTGAATATTAATATGTTATGTGTGCATATTATGTTATTTTATTATTCGGAGAGTTTTGGGAATTAATTAGAGGGTGTTTTAGATAATCCTTAATTAGTTGTTATTTGAGAGAAATAGAATAGAAAGAGTATAAGTGGAAATAGAGAGAAAAGAAAAGAGATAGAAAGAAATAGAAAGGAAAGAAGAGAAAAGAGGAGGAAGAGGAGAAAACCTAGAATCATCAAGAATCAAACTTCTAAGCTTCGATTAATCGGATAAGGGTGTGAAACTTTATCATTCTTTCGATGTGTATGATTATGTATGTTTCTATTGGTTTGCTTTTGGATTGGAGAGGGTTCTACTCATTTTCTGTTTTAGGTTGAATTTGATTTAATCGATAAAAACCGAGTTTTAACGGTTAAAAATGAGAATAAGTGGTAGAGTTTAGTCGAGGGATCTTGGGCTAAGGCTACTGAGTCGAGTTGGAATTGAATCGGTTGGATTTTGAGAAGTTTCGGAGTTTTGGACAGTGGGGATTTATGAGTTCGCAGACCCTCGCTAGCACGTTCGCTAGGCGAGCAGGTCGTGAGCATTCGTTGGGCATTCGCTGTGGCGAGCCAGTAGCGAACGGTCCCAGACTTGAACAAAATGGTTTTGGTGTTCTTCGCTGGTAGTGAAGGGGGGGGGGGGGGGGTGGCGAGCATTCGCTAGGCTTTCGCTGAGCGAGTGGGGTAGCGAATCAAGTCAGTGGCTTCTGTTTGCCTTCACGAGCTTGTTCGCTAGGCGAACAGGTAGCGAGCACTCGCTAGGCGAGCAAGGTAGCGAGCGTGTCAGTATGTTATTTTCTTGTGTTTTCACTTCCATGTGGATTCTTCGATTCAAGTATGATTAATCCTTTCTTATTATGCATAGTTGTGTGTGTGATATGAAATATTGTGGGTAGCCGTATGGCGTGAATCCTAGATTGTGAATCGTGAAGTGTGAAATGTGGCAGTTTGGCAATTTTGTGCATTTGTTTGAATTGAATGAAAATGCATGATGAGATTGATGTGAATGTGCATAATTGTATGGATTTGTATGATGTTAAGAATGCATGAGTATGTTTGTGAACGTGTATGCATTTCAAGAGTGTATGGATTCGTTTTGCATGTGAAGCATCATGATTGCATTCTTGTGTGTCTGATCCCGCGTAGGATCTGCAGAAACCTCGTGTGCCCTTGTAGGGTGTGAGCGATGGTTTATTTTTTATCCCTAGGAGGATCTGCAGAAACGATCGTGTGCCCTTGTGGGGTGTGAGCGATAGTTTATATTTGATTCCGTGGAGGATCTGTAGAAACGACAGTGTGCCCTTGTGGGGTGTGAGCAATCCTGAAACATCGTGGGCCCATGTGGGGTGTGAGCGATGGGTGAACATCATAGGCCCGACGGTGAGTTACTTCGGTAACGAGCGATGGTTCCATTTGGTTCTTCAATTGAACCTGCTGAATGAGTCGGTACCGCATTTGCATCTGCATAGTCGGTCTCTATGGGTGCATTATTATCTTAATATGATGTGTTGGTGTAATGAACATAATTGTGTATGTTTATGTGAATTATTGAAGTAAACATAAGTGTAAATGTTTATGTGAAATATGTGAATGATTGGCGATTAAATGATGGTGGATATGCTTGGTGAGTTATATATGCGTTGCGATGTATATATGATTGAACTGTGATGTATTGTGGTGAGAAATGTGTTATGTGTATTCTATGTTGGTGTATATATATATATATATATATATATATATATATATATATATATATATATATATATATATATATATATATATATATATATATATATATATATATATATATATATATATATATATATATATATATATATATATATATATATATATATATATATATATATATATATATATATATATATATATATATATATATATATACATACATATACATATACATACATATACATATACATATATATACATATATATATATATATATATATATATATATATATATATATATATATATATATATATATATATATATATATAT